TCTCTATTGGTTTTAAGGAAGCAAATTGTGACACCACATTTTCCTCCTCGAATGGAAAACAAATAATCACTATGATAGCGATGTTCTATTTACAAAACTGCCCCTGTTCAAGCCATTTCCTCAAGCCTAAAGACTTTCCCTGAGTAGAGAAAACGATTGGGAAAAGGATGAAAATTACCCTATAACTTCAAACTTCCAAAGACTTTCCTTGAGTAGAAGAAAACGACCGGCAAAAGGATGAAAATTACCCTCTAACTTCAAACTTCCATGTAAATATGAAGCGACTTCTTTACTAAATTTATCTAACTTATCCCTTACTCATTTAAAAATATTAAAAAAATAATTTCATTATTCTTTTTCTATTAGTTAACGGTGGAAAAGGAGGGTGGGACGTTATATTGAAGCATCTGCCCCACCTAAACACCGATGGCCCAACCCTATTTTCCCTAATTCCACTTTTTGTTGGATAATGTTTCGATATAAAATTGTGGCTTTGTATAGTTGCACCTCATATCTCACCGGAAAATGCAGTTTCGAAGATGGGAATATTGCAAATCGGTAATCTCCCTCGATGATGAAGGATAAAAAAGAAATAAAAAATAAAAACAATCATCTTTCAACAGTTTTTTGGACTGTCCATTTTAAATCCTCGCAATCCGCTAGCCACATTGTTATTGGAGCTTCTAATTCCACACTAAAGGGTGATAATAAATTTGTAAGTTTTACAGGGGGAAAAAATAAAATAGGATTGTATTTATTTTTGGTAATGCATTTATTTTTGGTACAAAGAGGTCACAAATCACTTTTAGCTATTGATGTGAAATCCAATAGATAAAAGTATGTCACAACATTCGAAACATTCTATTTTGAACTTCACGTCCAAATAATAACACATCTTCAACCACCCGATTTCAAATCCAACGATCAATGATGATTGTAACCTCCTTATATCAAAAGTAAATAGTACCATTATATACATTTCTAAAAAAAATTGCAAGTCATTATAAAATTTTCCATAACTTAATCTCTTTTAAAATGGAAACTTTTTGAAATTCATAAAACCCCCGATACCTCGCCTTCTTTGTTAGTATAATTGTACACCTACTCGAATAAATTCAGAATAGATTTTATATAAGGCACCAACTTTATGCTATAAAAGTAAGGCCAAAGGCACATATTCTAAATTCCATCAAATTAATCATCTCACAAACGAGATGTTTAGATATGAATAAGTAAAGAAGATTTCAACTTCTAAAATAATGCATCTTGTAATACCTTATATGGATTGCTATTTTCAAGATTTTCAATATTCATAGGTCATCATCATCATCATTTTTTTAGCTTTAAATTTCATAATGAGGGGAGATATAGATTTTGTTACCATCCTACGAGTTTCTAGCACCAGAATTACATATTTCAAAAGAGTTTGGAAGTGTGCTTTTCTTTGATTTTTTAAGGTTAACCCATGGAAGCCGTACATATAAATTAATAGAAGCAAATATGGATGTCTGAAGCAAAATTATACTATAGACATCCTAGTAATGTATTAGTACATCATACAAAACTATAGAATAAATGGTAGAGATGAACTATAGATCAATAATAGCTACATTTGTAGCTTATCTCCACCAGTCATTTAGAAAGCGTACATTGAGGATTTACATGCATACGGTAATGGGAATGGGGTCCTTTACTTGTAGAAGAAATAGAATTCAATACGTCATGTTGTGACTTCCCACAACCCTGACCACCTAGTGAGCCCATTCCTACAAGCTACTATAACTTTATAATTCATATTTTCCATGAATTTCTCAAACTTGGCATATCTCACCAATAATATTCTAAATAATTTTAGGATGATGTATACTTTGAACCTTATATCTAGAAGTAAGATTGCAGTAGTCCATGCCTTCTATTTTAATTGGACAGGTATATTTTAGACACAATCTTAAAAAACGGGTTATATTTTGATGTTGTCTTAAAAGACATGTCAAATCTATATTATTCAATTAAAATAAACAATATAAAACAATGCAACCTCACTTCTAAAAATAAAGTTGCAAACTTGCACAAATTCCATTTGAAAGGAAATGTGAGATCTCAAGATCATTTGGACATCCACCGTTGGTTTCTGATGATGGACAATAAATACTGAATGAAGTTCTCAATGACAATAATCTCCATTGGCGTGCACCAAAAGTATGGTCTATGCCCATGTGGTGTACCATTCACCATGCGCAACTAACGGTATGTTGGTGGTCCAATGTTCAAGAAGAAACCGTGCACTCCACTCTTGTAACGGCTGGTAGAATTGTGGAAATCTATTCCATAACTTTAATAGAACGGTAATAAGCTCGATGAACTCAGCCGTTATATCCAAATAATGGCTGTTATTTTGTCATGATGGTTGTTAATGGGTTTTGAGTATTTTATCCTAAATAACGCCTGGCATTCCAGCATCGTTGAAAGAAACACAAGCTATATAGCATTATTTTTAAAACTTCCGTTATGATCAATCAAAATATAATGGGTGTGGTTTGTATAAGGCTAAGGCCATAAACAATAAAAAATAAGGCACACTTTCAAATAGTAACGAAATATGTTGTTTCAGTACCGAAAATATTTATGATGATCTAAAGATTTATTTTCATCTCCAATTATAAAATTTAAAGCCTAAAAAGTAGTGTAGATCAAACAAATCTAATAACACTTGAAAATCTTAATAATCGATAGTAGATAATGCATTACAATATACATTATTTTCAACACTTGAAGTCCATTTTTTTTTTTACGTCCATGTATCTCAAAGTTGAAATGATCAAATTTAAAGGTTTTTGGCCTCGAAACAACTTATTCTTGTTAATTTATGAGCTGCGTCTTAGTTTGATTGTTTAGGGATTCAACCCTGAACTTTTTCTGAACATAATAACATTCAATAAAAATATGCTGCCTATTACGAGGAATTTTGTTGAATTACCCATTATTTCCATTAATTATTATATTCAATGAAGATATAGTGGATTATTAATAAGTCTTTTTGTTCAACTAGTCATGATTTCCATCAATTTCTATAGAACTACCCATTGTTTCCGTATCTATTTCAGTTACAATAGTAGTCTGGTAATAGTAGACCCTTGCCTTATAGCCTATTCAATGAATTTTAAAACCATGCTCCTATTTTTTATGAGATTGTCACTTTTTGTATAAGAATGTCACAATGATTACTGAGGGTCATTAAATAAACTTAATTTTTTTAAAAAAAAGTGATCGTGATTCACCCCAAGCCATCTAATTTAATATTTAATGAGTGCCAATAAGTGTCACCTTTTTATAATAAAGATAAATAATCTATTTTTATACCACCCAATTTTTTTTATGGGTGCTTTTGACGTTTTGAGGATAAAGGGGGTTTTGTCCAAGATTTTGTTTATGACTATGAGATTCATGCCGACGAATATGGGAATCATATTTTCTAAGGTAATTTTCTTAGTTAAAGGGAAAAGAAGGTCCAAAATTGTAGAGATTCTAAATGAGGTATCTCAAGTTTCATTTCATATCCATCCAAAAACCGAGAAAAAAAAAAACAAAAACGAAAGAGAGAAAAATAATAATAATGAGGTTTCTATAAGGTCTAAGCTTTTATAAAAACACAAGAAAGTATCACCTCAATTCCTAGTCTAAAAAGTACTTTTGGCAACGGAGATCTATGATGACTCTAAAATCAATTTTCAACACCGACAATAAATTTTGAAACTTAAAAAATAATAAATATCTTGTAGATATATGAACACTTATTTTTAAAGTAAAATTGACGGTTTAGATAATTTATTATAATATACATTATTTTTAGAACTTGAAATCATAATTTTTTTTTTACAACTATAATGTTTAAGTTGAGATGATCGGTATAAAGATTTTCCAATACTTAACTTTGTAATTTTCGATAAGTTATGATGTGAGGATTTAATTATTTTGATAGGGCTGCACCCCTATCAAACAATTTTCAAAAACAAAAGTTTGTTATTAGGTTAGCTTTAAGTGGGTCTCTAAATCTGTTACATGTGGCACGCTATGAAATTGATTGAATATTTGGAAGTAAGCTGATAACAATGTTATAAGTTAATTATAAGTGAGCTTCAACAATGTTACATATTGACTATTGTTTAATATAAATATCTAACATTATGACAATCATTTGATTGTGATCATAAGGTTGCAATCATCAAATATGTATGTATGTATTGAGACTCAAGAAAAGCCGAGCAAGCGTTCTCTATTTACAAACACAACTATATTCACTTGGGGAAATTATTATTTTTTGGATAATTTAGTGGGGAAGACAATCTCTATCAATTTTTTTTTTTTTTTAGGTGTTAGTAGGAGGTGTCGGGAAAATGTAAATCACAACACAGTGATCAGGGTGTGGGGTGCTACCACGACGCTCATTTCCCATCCCTTGGTTTTTTTAAAACATGGGGCATTTAGTCAGCCTCAACAAAATAATATTAACTAAATTCACCAGTTACAATTAATATATAGTGTTATTATTAGTTCACTCTCAATCATCTGAACAAGTTCAGAATTGTTCAATCGAGAAAAAAAACTGATATGTAACTTCCCCTGAAAAGACTCCCCATTTCTTCTTAAAAAGCCTATAAAAAAAGCAAACTTTATTTTAATCAACAAAAAGTAACATATAATTTCAAATAATAAATAATTGTATTTATTATAGACAGTAATAATAAATTCTAATGCATTTACTGCGAAGCGTAATTATTGTATAAAGCCAAGGCTATTTTGGTCATACAATATTAAAGAGAATTAGGGGAGTAACAAAATCGGGAAAGTCTTAAATGCCTTGTAATGAAAATAACGATTTCAGTAAGGGTAAGTAGTTAACGGGGCAAAGAAAAGGGTATAAAAATATTAATTATTTTTTAAGAATAAAAAGTCGCCCTCTAAAATTCTTCCCTCCCATTCGTTAAAAGGCCCCTTGCTCATTCGTTTCCCATCAAACCTTTTATTCTCTCTCTAAAATTACCAAGTCTCTCTCCCTCCAAAAACACTGCTCTCTCTCTCTCTTGAACAAAATGACTTCCTCTCTCTAAAAGCACTATTTCGCTCTATCTCTGTCCTTTATTTCTTCTCTCTTTTGTGATTTATCCCCTCTCTAAAATAGAATCCGACTTTCTCTCTCCAAGAACGTTGCTCCCTCTCTCTCTATTTGTCTATTTTTTTAGATCTCCCTCTCCCCTCTCTCTCTCATGGAAGTCGAGATTTTCTCTCTCTAAAACATAACTCTCACTTTTCGTTCTTTCTTTCTATAGCTTTTGATCTATCCCTCTGTGATTGATTTCTCCGTCCCGGGCGAATTCCTGCTTCTCCGGCTTTTTTTTCCGGCAAAAATTTACGGAACAACGATAAAACCGGTGGGTTTTAGTGGGAAGAAAAAGCGGAAAATTCTTATAAAATTGCCGGTATTAAGTTTTCATCTTCTTATCGTGAAGCCTCTGCGTTTTTTTCTGGTTTATATTGTTGACGAATTTTGGAGATCTAAAACAAGTGTTTGGAATGCTGTTCCTGAAGGTGTAGCTTTGAGATCTATAGGGAAACGGCATGAAAACCTTTTCAGTTATTCAGAGAAGCTTCTGTGAATTTTTTCCGGCAATTTTGGCTGGATTACGGTAAAGATCAGCCGGATTATTGTCTAGGAAGGCCTTTGTTGGAGATCGACTTCAGAGCGCATAAAGACCCTGTTTCTCGAATTTGTTGGCTTATCAGCGTGAGAAGTCCTTGAAATATCGCTTAAAAGGTACTTTCTGTGAACTTTAAGCCAATAAATAGTTCAATTTGTCGATATTTGTTTATTTTTAATGGAATTTTGTGTTTCAGTTTCAGACCCCCTGAAATGTTTGAAAATTTGTGCCGAAGAATTATGAGACTTCAGTTTTAATGTTTTTTTGCAATTCTACTCCTTCATATATATGAATTTCCATGGGAGGGAACGATGCCAAAGAGCTAACGGAACTTTGAGAGTTAAATGTCTATTATACAGGGAGAATTTGACAATTTTAAGGATTTTTTCTCAGGATCTAGTTAATTTGGACCTCATGAAGGACCTTGAAATTTAGATTCAAGAGTCAAGAAAAGGTCAAATCAAAGAAGGAAAAAAGGAAAAATAAAATAAAAATTCAGACGAGTAAAGAGATGGCGCCTGCAAGCAAAGCTGATAGGAAGGCGGCTTTAGATGTGGCTTCATGGATGTTCAATGTTGTTACTTCAGTTGGAATAATTATAGTCAATAAGGCGTTAATGGCAACTTATGGCTTCAGCTTTGGTGAGTTCATGGATCCCTCTTTATCTCTGCAATAAATAAGCACTTTTACAGTTTATTTATCCCTTTCCATATTTTCCACTGCTCTGTCAAATAATCAGTAGTTTTTAGGATCTATGGCATCTGAAGAGTTACTGAAAAATCATCTCCTTCCGTTTTATTATCGAGCTCCCTTTTCAGGGCAATGTAATCTTGTATCATGTCTAAGGTTCCTCTATTTATTGTTGTTCATTCATTTGATTCTAAAAGAAAAAATATTCACTCATTTCAAGGAACATTAAGCAAAAACTGGACTTAGGTTTTTGCGTTTTTGTCCTTTTTTTGTGTTTGTAGTTGTAGAATTTTGAACTTTGGACAACTGTTGCAATTGTTAACACGTCAACCAGTGAAGACCAAGCCCAAATCCTGGAAATTGGGAACTGTAATTATTGTAGCAAGATGGGGTTGTGTAAGCTGCCATGATTCTCTCTTTTGTTGCCAATGTTACTCACCCAATACTTTGGTTATTTTATGGTATTTTGTGCCAAAATTATATTCACTTTCAGTTTGAACTAATTGCGTCCTTTGTTTTTTCAAAAACACTACTGCAGTTTTCTCATCAAACATTAAAGATGAATAACTATTTCATGTTTAAAATGATTGCGTATTTATGATCAACTATCTCTGTTTTGGACTTCTAGTATAATTTTTATTTTTGGAATCAACACAGTAAGTTTCTTTCTTTACAAGTATTGTATGCCTAACCTAAGCATCACTGGTCTTTAATTGCAAAAAAGATATCCTAATCCTGCTATTCCTGGGTATGTGGAGTTTAAAAGGCTGCAGAAACTTGACATGCTCAGATCCTATTTTTATATCCAAACCAGTTCCTTTTTGCTTAAAGATCTTTGGTTTTTGCCATCTGAATTACAGTGGTATACAACCTTTAGCTTTTGTGAAGATATAGTACTTTTGGCCTATTTCTTATCTAACTTTTACCATTGCATAAATTTACTTCTAGTGCTGGCTCCCTTTTGAAACCTATTCACGTTCTATTAGCAGTTGAAAGTCTGATTGTATGCTTAGGCTTAAATATCCTGTTCCCTGTGGTCTTTCTCCTTCTTTTATGTTGGATAAATGTTTATGTAGACAGAGAAGGTCTCCTCACTATTATGGCTTTTTGTTGTCTCAAACAATTCACCTCTTGTTCTGATTGGGCCCTTCATCTTTTGCTGTTTTAGATTTATACAATAGTACTGATTGATTTCTGAAGTTTTGATTTAAGCTTTGGGTATGCAAAATATATTGAACCAAGTTGCTAATTTTATGACCTTTAAATTTGGGCACAATTTTCCTTCTGAACAGTAATGTCTTCATTGGACTTTAGATTTTTCAAGCTATGGCTAGTCACTGATTCTTAAAGATCTCATTAATAGTTTACACTTCTATTATGGACTGTGATGCTGCTGGGACTGGAATCCATTGAACGATAGTAAAGAAATTTGTGGGAATAGGTATTCGGGTGTTTGCAAAAAATATCTCCAATTCTTGCATGGTGGGATTTGCAAGATTCATGAATTACCATGTTTAAGAAAATAGAAAATGTCTAAAAGATATAACAGACTGGAATTATAAAATGTAGAAGCTGTTGCTTTCTTCTTCAAGTTTCAATGCCTGAAGCCTAGAGGCTTTTATTTTGGGAGAGTTTCACTTTATGGAACAACCTTAGCTGATGCTTTCTAACAAAACTTATTTTGAGGCAGAAAGCTTAAAGCTTTATAAAAAGTCTGATTGTACTATTCTACTTTATTTTTTTAATTTAGTATTTAACTATGTCTCATAGTCTCTTTCTTTGTTTTTTGTGCTTGACATTATAAGCTTTGTGTGTCACTCATATTTTATGTCAGAAGAGGAACAATCTCCATTTTCTTTGCTTTGTTGGATTTTCTTCTTTGGAAATCTAGTTAAGAGTCTAATTAGGAAGAGACTTAAGTGGGAAATTTTGTATCCCAGAAAACTTCTCATTGTGGTTACAAACCCATCTGGCAAACTCACGACATGAAGAAAATGTCTCCTGCTTGTCCAACTGTTCCCATAATTTTCCCTTAGTATTGCTTTTGTCTTCCTTGGTTTCCTATGTATCTGACATAGGAAGACTTGAGTGGGAAATTTTGTATCCCAGAAAACATCTCATTATGGTTACAAACCCATCTTGAAAACTTGTGAAGAACATTTCTCCTGCTTGTCCAACTGTTCCCATACTTGTTCCTTAGTATTTCTTTTGTCTTCCTTTGTTTCCTATGTATCTAACATGTGCTACCAATCTACACGAGAGAGAGAGAGAGAGAGAGAGAGAGAGAGAGAGAGAGAGAGAGAGAGAGCACGTACGTCCTCTACTGTATCTTCTATCGTCGTACGTTCGGTTAGGTTAGTTTAGTTTTTACTTTTTACCTTTACCTTATTGTTTCTTT